AAGTCAGTAAGAAATGGCCTGCCCATAGGGTTAGGTAGAAAGGCAATGGAAAACTGGCCTACTAAAGGGATGCCCATATGGAGCATAATCCTAAGGAAATTTGGAAGGATGTATTAAAGTAGAACATGTCAGTGTCCAACAGAAGAACAGCCTTTCAGAACTGGAAGGTGGTTGGAACCAGTGAGTAGGTTTCCTAAGGTGCTCCCTTGAAGTGATGACTTGGGTTCATGAAATGAGCAGACATGGAGCTGCTGCAGTAATGCAGAGATGGACTGAACGAAGCACAAAATGCCAATGAGAACTGTTCTGTCAGCCAACAAGAGAGACAGAAACGAAAGTGGCTCTAGGGAAGATTTTCCAGAGGACATCCCTGACAAATGGATTACATTGACCCAATGCCAGTAGCCCTGGGGGCTATAAATGGGTCCTGGTAGAACCTGGAATTTTTTTTTTTATCATCACCAGAGGACATTTTTCGATATTTTGTTCAGATAGTATGGGAGGGGGAGAGAGAGAGAGAAACATCGACCTGAAAGGGACACATTGAGTGGTTGCTACCCACACGACCCAACCAGGGCCAGGGACAATCTGCAACCGGGGTCCGTGCCCTTAGTGGGAACCGAACCCGGGTCTCTCTGGACCGCAGGCCGACGCTCTAACCGCTGAGCCAAACCGGCCAGGGCTAACTCAGTTATGTATGTATGTATGTATGTATGTATGTATGTATGTATTTATTTTTTATTTTTTTGTGGTATGTGTCCCTAGCGGGAACCAAACCCAGGACTCTCTGGTCCGCAGGCTGACGCTCAACCGCTGAGCCAAACTGGCCAGGGCAGGACCTGGGATTTTTATACTTAGTTGTAGTTACAAATGTTCAAGATACTGTTAGATGATTGGAACAAAAAATACGGTATCAATTTGGGCCATCAAATTACCTTTCTTCAGCGCTGGCCGGTTTGCCTTAGTGGTTAGAGCGTTGGCCTGCGGTCTAGAGAGACCTGGGTTTGGTTCCTGCTAAGGGCACATACCTCGGTTGCAGTTTGCTCCCAGCCCTGGTTGGGTCGTGTGGGTGGCAACCACTTGTTTTGTCCCTTTCACGTTGATGTTTCTCTCTCTCTCTCCCTCCCACTCTATCTGAACAAAATATCAAAAAATGTCCTTGGGTGAGGATAAAAAAAAAATTACCTTTCTTCAGACCAACAACCATACTTAACAGTTCATAGTGTGCAACAGTGGACCAAGAGATACTATATCAAATGGACATGTTATGTTGCATATCATCCTCAGAGCAATGGTTTAATAGAGAATAGGAATGAGCAATTGAAACGTTTGTTGTCTAAAATATCAGAGAGGGTCCTGGCCGGTTTGGCTCAGCAGTTGGAGCCTTGGCTCGTGGACCAGGGGGTCACGGGTTTGATTCCAGTCAAGGGCACGTACCTCGGTTGCCATTTGATCCCCAGCCCTGGTTGGGGTTTTGCAGGAGGCAACCAGTTGGTATGTTTCTCTCTCTCCCTCCCTCCCACTCTGTCTGAAAAATCAATGGAAAAGTGTCCTCGGGTGACGATTTAAAAAAAAAAAAATGTCAGGGAGGGGAGGAGATAAAGTCAGGAAGTGTTTACTTAAATGCTTTCCTGAGGGTATGCTCACATTTAACATGAAAGTCCCCACTGGGTAGATTTATCCACCTTTCTGGGGGATCTGGGGAATAGGGGTGAGGAAGGATGCTGATATGACTATAATATTCTTCCCCTTATCACTTCAACTTTCTTATTTTCCACTTGATGTAGTGGTCCCAGGACCAGGAATGCATCTGCAGGTACAAGAAGCAGGATGATCCCTAAGCAAGAAAGTGTAACCATGACTTTAAGTCTTTATGTCAGAATTCCTATGGGCATGATAAGGTAGACTGTGCTTTCAACCCATCTGGCGAAATTGGAGTTGACAGTGAATGCTGCTGTGTTGCCTAGTGGTCTAGACAACCCATTAGTTCTGTATCTCTGTAACCCTACTCTACAAGAGGGAGTGGACTGAGGAAGAGGCTTTACTAGACTAGTATTGTTGCCAGCAATCTGGACCAGCGCAGTAGCTAAACCTTACATCCCTCCAAAGGCGGAAAAGTTTGGGTGTAAATGGAAAAAAAGGAGCAATAGTAGCTTAGGGTAAAAGAATGAATAAGTGAGTTATGCAATGAAGGAAATTCAACATTGCACAAACACTTTGAAAGAGGCTCAGAACAAAAGATGATATTGTTCCTTAACTCAGTTATGCCAGATATCTGAAAGGTTGAACCCATATATTGCTGAAACCACTCTTCATCTTGGAACCTGCCAAGATTGAACGGAAGACTGCAAACATGGCTTCCTTGTGTGAGAGCCATTTTGATCATAAAATATAATGATGAACTGATAATACTCTTATTTTTATTTTATTTTTTGTTAATCCTCACCTGAGGATATTTTTCCATCGATTTTTAGACAGATTGGAAGGGCGGAAGTGGTAAAGAGAGAGAGAAACATTGATGTGTCTGGTTTCTTCCCAGAGGACCCTGACCAGGGTCGGAGATTGAAGCTGCAACCCAGGTATGTGCCCTTGACTGGGAGTCGAACCCACAGTCCTTAGGTTTGAGGATTGATGCTCTCACCATTGAGCCAAACTGGCCAGGGCAATATTTTTTACATTACATCTACACAAGAAAATATACTATGGCTCTGGCTGGTGTGACTCAGTTGGTTGGAGCGTCGTCCTGTACACCAAAAGGTCGTGAGTTCAGTTCCTGGTCAGGGCACATACCCAGGTTTTGGGTTCCACCCATAGTCAGGGTGTGTGTGGGAGGCAACAGATCAATGTTTCTATTTCACATCCACGTTTATCCCTCTCTCCCTCTCTAAAATCAATAAAAACATATCCTCGGTTGAGGACTAAAAAAAAATATATATATATATATAATATAACACTGGCATTGTTGGTAAGATTATAATACCAATATTGATAGTCATATGTATTGGGAAATGGAGCTAAAAGCCTCTCATGCCTACCTCACACTGATTCTTCAAGTGTTAGAAATATTAATGCTATTACTATCAGTCTATCTCTGTTATGCTGCAGGGCCCCTAGATGGAAGAGGATGCTGGTCAGAAAAACAGGCCCTGTGATCAGAGGAGTGGAGTTGAGCTCAGCCACATAGCCTGGGATTTAATCAACCATGCCTACATGATGAGATCTCACTTAAAAAGCTCTGGACAATGAGGCTCAGGGAGCTTCCTGGTTGGTGAACACATTGGTGGACCAGGAGGGTGTCACACCCCCACCCACAGGGACAGGAGTTCCTGCGCTCAGGACCGTTCCAGACCGCGCCCTGTGTACCTCTTCATCAGGTTGTTTATTTGTATCCTTTATAATAAAATGGTAATCATAATTAGAACAATTTCCTGAGTTCTGTGAATCATTCTAGTGAATTACTGAAACCGAGGGGCCATCATGGGAACCCCGAATTTGTAGCCAAGTCAGACAGTAGTGTAAGTAGCTGGGGACCCCACTTGTGGCTGGCATCTGAAATAAGGCCATCTTGTTGAAGACTTTGCATTTTAACTTGTGGGATCTGGCACTCACTCCAGGAAGTCAGTGTCAGAAATGGAGCGAAATGTTGGACAGCCAGCTGGGGTCAGAGAACTGGGGTCAGAAACAGTAAACATAATGCTCTCTTGAGTTCTGTAAGTGGTTCTAGTGATTTAGGGAAACTGTGGGAGCAGTGGGAACACCTGAAAGTGTAGATCACTGGTCAGAGTGAGGTAGGACTGAGGAGCCCTGAGCTTGAGACCAGTGTCTGAAGTAAGGGCAGTCCAGTGGAGGACTGTGCGCCTAGCTGTGTAGGGTTCAAACTCTGGGTAGTTGTGACAGAAGTAATTTCATTCCTCTGGAACATTTTTCAGCCACAGAAAGGAAAGAAGCACTGACACATGCTATAACATGGAGGAACCTTGTATGCCAAGTGAAAGAAGTCAGTCACAGAAAGATCACATATTATATTATTTCATTTACATGAAATGTTCAGAGCAGGCAAATCTATAGAGACAGGATTAGTGATTAGGCGTGGAGTAGGGGGCGGCGATTAAGCAGTTGATAAGAAAGGGAACCAAGATTTTTTATAAAGTGATGGAAATGTTTTAAAATGAACTGTGGTGATAATTACATATATTTGAAAACATACTAAAAGCCATTGAAATGTATACTTTGACCTTTTATAAATATATACTGAAATAGCTATGGATGAAATAATAAGATATCTGGAGTTTGCTTCAAAAGAATCCTTTGGGGGTAGGGAGGACAGAGGGAATAAGATCAGTCATAAATTCATAACTGCTGAAGCTGGGGGCTCGGAGGCTTATTATTCTCTACACAGTTAGGTATGTTGAACGTTTTTCATAAAAGGAAAGAAAGAAGAATCCCATGCATTGTTCTAATGCAGAAAAGAGGGGACTGTCACATCCTTTGATAAGTTTTATTTAGAGGCCCCACCGAGAGATCCGATTATCAGAGATGAATTATTGAGGGGAACGTGAGAGGCATGGCAGCCACGGAGTGTGGAGAGGTGGTGAGCGCAGGGGCGGGATGGTGCCAGGGCAGTTCATTCCCTGAGCCCTCACTGACAGCTCCCAAGCCATGCTCGCCGTGGTGGTGGAAGTGGAGCAGGGGAGAGAATCAGGTAAGAAACCACACACTCTCATTATCAGAGGTAGTGCAGCTTGGAAGAGCCTCTTGGGAGAGGGGAGGGCTAGGCCATCTAGGATAGGAAACTGAGGCAAAGGTTGAGGGCAGGACTTGGGAGTCCTGAAGCTCAGTTTCCCTCAAGGGAGTTGACATGAAGCCCACCTTTCTTAGGCCCTCAGGGGATCTGTCAGCCCACACTCCTTCTGGAGGAGCCCAACAGCATCCGCCTGCTTCAGCCGGGGACTCTGGCCACACAGGTGGAGAGGGGGTGACGTGAGGGTGGGGCAGGGAAGATGGGAGTGGGAGCGACCCTGCTGAACCCAGCCCGCCCACAGGAACAATGCATCACCTTTGACAGAGTCCTGAGCTCTGATGCTGCTCAGGTAGGGGTCTGATAGGGTTATGGGAGGAGGATGGGAGCCCTCATGCCCCTGGAGCCTGGGGTGCTGAGTGCTTTGGGAGCCCTCTGCTCAGGCCAGGCAGGGTTAGGGCGCTGAGACAGCGGCTCTGCCTGTGTCTCCCTGCAGGAGGCCGAGCAGGAGCTACTAGCACGAGTCCAGCCCACACTGGGTTCTGTGGGCCGAGGATACAGTGTGGCCCTGCTGCTTTGGGGTCGGGCAACAAAGGCACCTGGGCTCGTGCCTCAGGTGAGTCCTAGAGGAGCTACCGGTATAGTTGTCATGACGCTTGGGTGTTGCCTCCTCTAGGGGACCTTCTAGAACCTTTCTTTCCCTGCCGTAGCTGAACTAGGGACTCCTCCTTGGGGCCCCTAAAGAGCCCTGTGATCCATACAGGATGTTTAGCCAGGGTTAATTTATTCAGCTATTGACCGGTCAGAGAAGGTAGGAGGCTGGGGCTGATAGGGTGAGAATCAGGGAGGGGTGATGAGCAAAGATCAAATATCCAGGGAGGTCTAAATTTCACAGTTCTTGATAATACTAATAATGATATAAACTTGAGAGCTTTGTGTTTTTTTGGACTTCATTAAAATGCCCCCAAATCAAAATATCTGCCTCAGAACCTTGGCAGGGCCCCTGCCTTAGCAGGTCCCACTGGAAATGTCTGCTCACCGTCTGGCTTGCTGTGAGCTGTGAGGCCTACGCCCGTTTCTGTTCCAGGACTTTCCCCAACACCAAACACAGGACACATCACGAACTTCACCCTCAGGAAATGTTGAAAGACACTTTTTCGTCAAGCCTTTTCTTAATTTATTTCTTAATTCCTGTTTAACCCTCTTTTTTTCCACTTTAGCTGCTGCAGATGCTGTTTGAGGAAGTTCTGCTTCTTGGGAGCTCTGATCCTGTGCTTAGTACCCTTAGCCTGGTGCAGGTGAGACCCTGGAGGAAAGGCAGACATGGGAGCCAAGGCCTTGGTGATGATGCAGAAAGAGTCTGAGGCAGGAGGGCAGCCAGAAGAGCTTGGCTCTCGCTACATTCTGCTGCTCACCAGTGTGGGCTTGCCTTTCTGGGGTCTCCTTTTTCCTGCCTGAAATGGCTGAATTTTGGTGCCTTCCTTGGCCCACAGAGCTCCAGCATGAGGGTCATGTGAGCTGAAGTGGGGGCGAAAGGCTCCGTTTGTAATAGGTGTTGTGTTTGTGTGATCTCAGCTCAGCCCCAGGGGGAGGACTCAAGACCTGCTCTCTCCAGGGACAGAGAACTTGTCGGTGCTGGATGTGGCCCCTCTGGGCTTGTGAGTATCTTGGGCCCAACAGGGTCCAAGGATGCTTGTCTTGAGGCAGGGCTGACACCCCCAACCAGGCCCTTGAAGGTTTCTCCCCACTGCCACCCCAGAGGGAAGCTCTGAGCCTGGGTTGTGCTTACAGGGCTCGAGTTTGCTCCCAGGACTCCTCACCCTCTTCCCTTCATGCCATATCCCCATCCTCACTCCCCTCACCCATCCACTTATACCTCTTCAACTCAATCATTATCGTTCTAGGTGATTCAAGCATCTCTCTGAGCAGAATTTTAGTTTCTCATCTGTAAAATGGAGTGATTCCAACTACCCTGTTTGACAGGACAAAAAATAAGATCATGAGGATGACAGGATTTTAGGGGATATACTGAGCTTGGAGCCTTGGGCATGATTCTTACAGGCTCTTGGGAGCTCCCCAGGCAGAGGTTCTGGGGAACTCTGGTGCCTAAGAGCTGAGCTCAGCCTCCCCTTCCTCCAGGGTGGTGGAAGATGCCAGGGAAGTAGAGGTGCCTGACTCAAGAGCTGCCTCAGAACTTTACTTACGGGCTACAGGGGGTGAAGCCAGGTGAGCACGAGAGGGTTCCTGTCACCTCTCACTTCTTAGGCATTTGGCCTGATCCTAGCCTCTCCTCCACAGGATCTGCTCTCTGCTTACTGTCACTATGTCCCGCCCAGGGCCTGACCCTCCTAAGGGTCCTAAGAGTGTATGGCGAGGGGCCTTGAGGATCTTGCAGCTCCCAGGAGCTCTGTAAGTCTGACAGCTTTGGGGGTGGGATGGGAGGGTAACTGAAATATGGATGTCGAGGTCCAGGGCAGCATCTGAGTCTTCTTTCCTCACCTCCAATAGGCTGAAGGAATCTCTTTAGCATTTCTTGTAAGGCAGGTGTACTAGCAATGAACTCCCTCAGCTTTTGCTTATCTAGTAATATCTTAATTTTTCCTACATTTTTGAAGGATAGTTTTTGCCAGATATAGAGTTCTTTTTTTTTTTTTTTTGCATTTATCTTTAGATAGAGCAGGAGGGAGAGAGGGAAGAAGAGATAGCGAGCAACATCAATGTGAGAGAGACACATTGAGTGGTTGCCACCCACATGACCCCAACCAGGGCTGGGGACAAACTGCAACCGAGGTACGTGCCCTTAGCGGGAACCGAACCTGGGACTCTCTGGTCCACAGGCCGATGCTCTAACCGCTGAGCAAAACTGGCCAGGGCCAGATATAGAATTCTTAGTTGACAATTTATTTTTTTCTTTAAGCACCTTAAACATGTCATCTTAATGCCTCTGGTCTCCATAGTTTTTTTATGAGAAATTTGTTTTTAATCTTATTGAGGATCTCTTGTACATAACAAGTTGCTTCTCTCTTGCTGTTTTCAAGACTCCCTCTGGCCCTGGCCTGTATGGCTCAGCAGTTAGAGTGTCAGTCCTCAGAACTATGACTCGCGGGTTCGATTCCGGTCAAGGGCATGTACCTCCGTTGCAGATTGTCCCAGCCCTGCTTAGGGTCGTGTGGGAGACAACCAGTTGGTGTGTCTCTCTCACACATCAATGCTTCTCTCACTTTCCCTCTCTCCCTCCCTCCACTCTATTTGAAGATAAATAGAAAATATCCTCAGGTGAGGATTTAAAAAAAAAAAAAAAGACTCTCTCTGCCAGCTGGTATAGCTCAGTGGATTGAGCATCATCCCATGGACTGAGAGGACCCGGTTCCATTCCCCATCAGGGCACATGCCACATTTGTAGGCCAAATCCCCAGTGGGGCGGAGGGCGTGCTGGAGGGAGTCAATTGATGTTTCTCTCTCCCTATCCTTCCTCTCTCTCTAAAATCAATAAAGAAAAATAAATAAAGTGTTTTGATGTGGATCTCTTGGTGTTTATCCTCCTAGGAATTATTTGAGCTTCTTGTATGTATAGATTTATCATGTCTTTAATTAAAATTTGAGGAATTTTTGAGCAGTATTTCTTCAAATATTCTTTCTGCCTCCTTCACTCTTTCTTTTAGCTCTGGGCGCCCATTATGCATATGTTTGTATATTTGATGGCATCTCACAGGTCTCTTAGACTTTTCCTTCATTCTTTTTACTTTCTGCTCCTCAGACTGGATAATTGTATCTGATCTATCTTTAAGTTGGATGAGATTCTTTCTTGTGCCTGCTCAAATCTGCCCTCTAGTGGATTTTTAATTTCTTCTTGTAATTTTCAACTCTAGAATTTCTTTAAAAAAAAAAAATTTGTCCTTTTATTGATATTTTCTATTCACTGAGACATCATTTTCTTGATTTTCTTTAGTTTCTTGAGCATATTTAAGATAGTTGAATTAAAGTATTTTTTGTTGTTAATCCTCACCCGAGGAGATATGGATATATATATATATATGTGTGTGTGTGTGTGTGTGTGTGTGTGTGTGTGTGTATACATATATTAATATGTTTTTATTGATTTTTATAGAGAAAGAGGCAGGGAGAGGGAGATAGAAACACTGATGTGTGAGAGAAACATCGATCGGCTGCCTCCTGCACACCCCTCACTGGAGATTGAGCCTGAAACCTGCGCATCTACCCTGACCTGGAATCGAACTGGGACCTCTCAGTCCATGGGATGATGCTCAATCCACTGAGCCACACCAGCTGGGCAGAAGATATTTTTTCCCACTGATTATTAGAGAGAGTGGGAAGGAAGGGGGGAGAGAGAGAAACAGAAACATTAATGTGAGAGAGACACATCAATTGGTTGCCTCTCACATGCACCAGGTTGAACCTGCAACTCAGGCACATGTCCTTGATGGAAATCGAACCCACAACCCTTTGGTGAGCAACTTGACACTCTAACCACTGAGAAACATCAGCCAGGGCTCAATTAAAGTCGTTGTCTAGTGAATTTAATATTCTTACTTCCTCAGGGACAGTTTCTGTTCATTACATTTCCCCCCTATGAATGAGCCATATTTTCTTATTAGAATGCCTCATACTTTTTTTGTTTGGAAACTGGCCAATCTGAGTATTGTTTGTAGAGACTGTATTCTTCATTGTGTTGGTCTCTTAAGTCTTCATCCTTCCCCTTAGTACTCTGACATTTTTATTATGATGATGTGGTAACTCTAAAAACCAGATTCACCCTCCTGTCCAGGGTTTGCAGTGTTGTTTGTTATGGGATGGAGCCATCTGTTTCCTTAGTTACTTTTGCAAACAACTTTTGCAAAGACTGTATTCTTTGTAGTCACTGAAGTCTCCATTCTAATCTTAGTGGTTAGTGAGTGACCTGACAGGATTCCTTAAACTCCTAGGACCAAAAAACCCCAAAAAACAAAAGTCCCACAAACAAACAAAAACAATAAAAAAAAAAAAAAGGAAGAAAGAAAGAAACAGGAAGAAGAGGGGAGAGGGGAGAAGAACAAGGAAAAGAAAAACAATTCCCAGGGTTATACAGTGTGGCTCTGTGTTGAGTCATGTCTATGCTTAGTCAGGCCATTTATAGCTCCGCCTTAGCCTCACTTCTTGCTTTTACTGAGCCTAAAAAGCAGCCAGAAGTGAAAGCTTAAGGTCTTTTCAGGGCTTTTCTGAATGTATATCCTGCCCTAGGCATGTTCATGACTTTCTAGGTTCTCCAGTACATTTAGGAACTTTTCAAAGTCCTTATTGCCCCTAAATCTCACTCTCTAACTTTTGCTTTGAATCTATGTATCTATTGTTTATCCCAACTGTTATTTTTGCTCGTTCTTTCATCTTTCAATGTTTTGTGGGGGTTATGTTTTTAAAACAATGCTTTCAATGTTTTATAGTCTCTGGCTTAGCTGCTCTGGCCCAAAAGAGTTCCAAGAAAAGTGAAACAAAGGGAAGTCCCTTTTGTCAGTCCTTTGGGGGAAACTCCAACCATTCAAAACACAAACACAATTCCCTGGGAACAAGATAGGCTCTGCTCCCTTCAGAACCAGGCACCCCCACCAGAAATGTGGGCTGTTGTCTACAAGACCACCTCTGTGCTGGGGAGGAGGTTGGGGCTAGGGTAAGTTAAAATGTCACAAAGAGCCGAGCCAGTGTGGCTCAGTGGATTCAGCCACATGGACTGGGAGGTCCCGGTTGGATTCCCAGTCAGGGCTCATGCAGGCTCGACAGCTGGTCAATGTTTCTCTCTCACATCGATGTTTCTATCTCTCTCTCCCTTCCTCTCACCCTAAAAAAAAAAAAAAAAAAAATCAATAAAAACATATTTTACAAAGCACATCACAAAGATCTCTTACTATATTTAAGTTGCCTTTCTCCTGGATAAGCATTCCTTATAAACCTTTGATTATCTCCCAGAGTTCTAGCAAGGTTGATTCTGGCCATTTTTGCCAGATGTTTCTGGGAAGATACAGACTCCCAGAGTTCCCTACTCTGCCATTTCTGCTGATGTCACCTTGCTTTGCCATTTTAAAATTGGGTTATTTGTCTTTTTCTTAGTGAGGTGTAAGAGCGCTTTATATATTCTGGATACAAGTACATAGTCACATAGACAAGTAAATTTTTTCTTACTATGAGAATATATTATTTGTGTAATTATATAATAATAATCAAATAAAAATCTACATAAGGTTGCAAATCTGTCTGTTGGTGCACAAAAGTTACTGGAAATAATCAAACTTTCCATCAGAGTGTGATTTGGGCGTTTCTTTCCCCATTCACCAATGGACGGCTTTCCTCCTTCTTCCCTTTGGCAGAGACTGCCCCCTGCTGCAGGTGCTGGCTGGTAAGGCTGCTGATGAGGAGGTGGAGGGCTCTCTGTCCTGGATTATCTCCTGGCTCCTGGAAGGAAACAACTACACTGGCCTCCTTCTTCGCTTGGACCCTCAAGGTGGCCTGGTGGTGGTGGGGAGTGTGGAGTTCTTTGGGAAGCTCTGGGGTCTGGCCTTAGGCCTGCTCCACCCTCTCCCCCAACCAGTCAAAGCCCTAAGCCTAGCCCAGAAAGAGCCTGACTCTCTGGGAGGGACAGGATTCAGACAGGTCCCACGGTGGGCAGAAGGAGAGGCAGGGCCAAAAGTAAAAGCAACCCCACACCCTTCAGAGGCTTTCAATAGTTTACTAAACATTTCTACACTGACTAATACCTTCAGTTCTTACTAAAACTTCATGAGGCAGATCTAATTTACAGACGAGGAAAGGGAGGATCAGAGAAGGAAAGGTGCCCATTAAATACACACACACACACACACACACACACACACACACACAGCCCTGGCTGGTTTTGCTAAGTGGTTAGAGCATGAGCCTGCGGATCAAAGAGTCCTGGGTTCGATTCCAACCAAGGGCATGTACCTTGGTTGCGGCTTGTCCCTGGCCCCAGTTGGGGTTGTGCAGGTGGCAACCAATTGATGTGTCTCCCTCTCATCGATGTCTCTCTCTCTCTCTCTCTCCTTCCCATTCTGTCTGAAGATTAATGTAAAAATATTCTTGGGTGAGGATTAAATAAAACAACACATACATATTCACACTCATACAAAACTCTGGCCCCGACTGTCTCTGAAATCAACAAACATACATTCATTTGGCCAACACATTCCCTGACCTCCCCCTGTACGAGGCCCTGTGGAATGTGGAAGATAAGTTGGGGCAGTTCACACCTCAAGGATAAATCAATGAGGGACAGACACATGTTTATAGGCCAGTTTGGTATCATGATTAAGGGTATAGGCTTTAGTGTCAGACAGACCTGGGCTTGACTTTCAGCTCTGCCAGTCACCAGGAAGTTGCTTGACCTCTCTGAGCTTTAGTTGCCTCATCTAGAAACTGGGGGGGGGGGGGGGGGGTGTGGCAGGATAAAAATTATAGAATTGTTGTCTCATTGGAGTGTGGATAAAAAGAAGCACCCTCAGAAAGCCTTGGCATGGTGACATCAAGCACATGTTAAAAAGCCTGATAGGTGTTAGCTTTTTTTATAAATAGTGCTATTAATAAAGATCTAAAGTATTATAGGCAGTATGCTTTGGAGTACAGAGGAAGGAGTGATTCACTTTGAGTCTCCTCTTAACTAGGCAGCTCCCTAAATTTGCTCCAGGCTGCTCTCTTGGGGGCCGCTGGAAGGAGGATGCAGGAAAAACAGGTGAAGCCCACCCTGTGGGATGCAGCAGAAGAGTCCCGAGCCCGCCGGGCAGGCCTGAAGAGCCTGCGTTCAGGCCTCCTTGGGGACCCCCTGACAGATGGTGGGCTCAGCCAGCTGGGCAGGGCACTGCGGGAACTGAAGGTGAGCAAGGTGAGCTCTGAAGGCACCTGGGCCAGCAGTGGCCAGAGCCCACCTTGAACCGTCTCTCCGCAGGTGGTAAAAGCCTGGAGACGGTACCCAGGAAGCTGCATGCTCAAGGGGGTCACAGCTGAGGCTGTGGGGCTCCCAGAACCACAGGTATGTCTTTTTATCCAACCTCTTAGGAGCCCCACTGATGTCTGCCTTCCTCTCCTCTGTTTACAGAACAGTATGAGGGGGCCCTTCCTTTACTCATTAATTTATTGATTCCCAAACATTTATTGACCACTTACTATGTGCTAGGTACAGTGCCATGCAGGCCCTAGGAAATCCCTGTTCTTGTGAAGTTTACAATTTGCTGGAGAAACAATTACATCATATCAGTGCTCTAAAGGGCTTATCAACACAGGGTTCTGCGGGGCATCTAAGTTAGTTTTGGCAAAAAAAGGGAAGGAAGACTTCAGGGGAAGTTGATTCCCGGAAGAGATGGTCAGCAATGAGTGAAGAAAATAAGAAAAGTCTCGCCATGGCTGGTTTGACTCAGCAGTTAGAGCGTCAGCCCATAGACCAAAGAGACCCGCGTTCGGTTCCCGTTAAGGGCACGTACCTCGGTTGCAGTTTGTCTCGGCCCTGGTCGGGGTTGTGTGGGAGGCAACCAATCGACGTGTCTCTCTCACATTGATGTTGCTCTCTCTCTCTTCCTCCCTCTCTCCCTCCCGTTCTGTCTGAAGATGAATGCAAAAATGTTCTTGGGTGAGGATAAAAAATAAATAAAAGTAAAAAAAAAAAGTCTCAGAGGTAATCCAGTGAGTAATCTCTTTGGGGAACTGCAAGTGACTCAGTTTGTTGGAGAATAGAGTTTGAGGAAGAGAGTAAGGATAAAAGAATTGGAGGGAAGTAGGGGCCAGGTTATATAGGGCTTTGTAAATCAATTGAGATACTGGACTTCATTTTGGAAGTCAAAAGGAAGGCACAGGAGTATTTCAAGCAGGGAGGACAACATTGCTCCCACTTTTCAGGTGAACAGACTGAGGCTTAGAGAAGGGAAATGAATATCCCTGGGTCACTGGGATCATCCAAGGCAGCAGAGGGGCAAATGCCCACGTCCTTAGACTCAATGTGGTGCTCTTTTCGTTCTCTCCGGATGGATGCCCGCTCTTGTGCAGAAGGGGGAGCTGTCTTCCATGATTTGCCACAGGGGGGCTGGAAGGCTGCTCTTGTCCAGCTTCTGTTTTTTGTTTTTGTTTTTTCCTTTTCATGATTACTTACAACTTGTTTTTACAGCCCTGGGCCTTGGGAATTAAGCATGTAAGCTCCCATTTATTGAGCAGTGCCTGTCACTGCTCAGTGCTTTTGGTGCCTCATCCCATCCCATACTCTCTATAACTTTAATCAGCTCTATGTTATGGAGGAAGAAATGGAGACTCAAAAGGCTAGTCACCTGCCTGAGGTCATACAGCTAAGAAGAGGAGGATCTGAGACCCTGACCTGTCTGGTTTCAAAGCCCCGAGCTTAATTCACGCTGTTCTGGGAGGAAGCGTGGTGGACTGCCTTTCCTATCTTTTCAGCAGGTGATAAATTCAGAAGCCAGCCACAGCGCAGGCCTCCAGGGGGAACCCCAAGGTGGGTCTGAGGTTTGGGGGTAGAGGTTGGGGTCTTCACCTTTGATGTACTTAACTGCATTTTCCTCCAGTGGCAAGAAGGACAGCATCTCTAGGACCAGGGCTCCACCAAAAGCATCCTCTCAGAGACTCCGAGGAACAGGTACTTCATGTACCCCAGAACAATGGAAAGGTGTTGAGGGAGTGAAGAGTTGCAGAGTTGCAGTGCCCAGTTAATGTTTCGGGTTTACCCTGCCCTGACATCAGGGGGAATACGGTACTCCTGCAAATAAAGGACCTGAAGGCCCACTGGATCCCTAAGGGAGGGGCATGGGAAAGGACTGGTTCCCTACTGGGTTGGATTAGGAGTATGCAATCCTTAGGGCCTCCATGGCATCTATGGGCAGAACTAATACTTTTCCTCTCCCGACAAGGCCCCAAGTATCTGTCCAGATTGCAGGCTCTTCCAGGCCAGTTAAGTCTGAGATGTAGTTCTGGGAATATCCCTGGCAATGGATTCTGTTGAACATGTTGGGCCCTACGGTCCAATGCCGTGTACATACTTGGGCTTCCGGCTGAGCCTAGACTGATGCCACCTAGGCCCAGCAGACCCCAGATATGGCCCTGCAGTTCTTCCTGGCCCAGGCCCAGAGGCAGAGACTGCGTGAACAGCATCAAAGTTGGATCCAAGAGGAACTGAAGCATTTGAAACAGCAGGAAAAGGAGGAGGAGGCAGGAGACCAGGTCAAAGGCCTGGTGGCTGGAAAAGAGGTAAGGAAGGTCATGTAGGGGATTCGAGCCCCTTCTAATTGGGCCAGGCACTGTGCCAGAGCACTGAGAACTGGTGTCAATCACAACAGACTGGGCCACACCTTCTCTCCTGGCCCTCACAGCTTTGTGGGGGATAGATGAGGCAATTCTCAGTGCTAAGTGCTGTGATGAAGGGAGCTAGGGTGTTGGGGAACAAAGCGGGGTACCTGACCCAGGCTGTAGGGAATCAGAGAAGATGGCATTCAAGTTGAGAACTAAAGGACAAATAAATCAGCCAGAGGGATTCACTGGACTCTGAGCTCCAAGGGGGCTGTCTGTGCTCATCACACAGAGGCAGCCAGTAAAGAGAACTTGTATGAACAAATTAAGAAACAAAACTTATGTGCATGGGGTTTGGGGGTGTGGCAGAGAAACACATGTTCTAAGAGAAGACAAGACTATTTTACGAAAAAAGGTCCAGAGGGAAGCAATGGCAAGATGGGTTCTGTGTATTGCCAACTGTTTGTCTAGCTGGAGCCTGGCAGGTGCATGGTCAGAGGCAAGGAAGGCTAAAGAGGTCAGTGCGTACCATGCCTCTGGATTTGGCCTTTACCCTGAGGATGATGGCGAACCGTGGAAAGGCATGTCATCTCAGCTCTGCCTCTCACAAGCCATGTGCATCTAGGCACATCAGATCACCCCTCTGATCCAGTTTCCAAACATGTAAAATGATAACTACCTCATAGGGTTGTCGTTGGATAAAATGAGATCATACACATGACGTATGTAGAACAGAGCAGGCACACAGGTGGCACTCAAGAAAAAGTTGTCCTTTGGTATCCACGGAGGATTGGTTCTAGGACCCCGTGGATACCAACATTCAGATGCTCAAGTTCCTTATATAAAATGGCACATTATTTGCATGTAACCTACACACATCCTCCTGTATTCTTTAAATCATCTCTAGATTACTTAAGATACTTAATACAATGTAAATGTTATGTAAATAGTTGTTATATGGTATTGTTTAGGGAATAGTGAGGAAAAAAAAACTGTACGTGTTTAGTTCAGACACGTAGCCACCATGGGCCTAACTACAGCAGCAGTAATGGAACACTTAAAAGATTTTCAGTCTGCGATTGGTTGAATCCACGAATGAGTCACGTACACAAAGGGCTGACTGTGTTATCACTTAAGGCCTCCATGAGACAGAGATGGCACTGGGAGCAGACAGTGCTGAGACTCCAGCTGGAGGCTCTTCAGTCAGAGCGGGATACTGCAGAGCAGGACCTGAGAGCCCTCTATGACCTGCATGTACAGACCACCCGAGCTCGGACATGCCACGTGTTACAGGTCAGTAGGGACAGAGGACAGTTGAGCTAGCCACCAAGCTCACTAACTGACAGACATCTCTGAATCTGGGCACAGGTGTTCCAAGCCTGGCGGGGGCTGTGGGAGGAACAGACCATGGCCACAGAGCATCACCATCGCAGCCTGCTGGCTGGCATCCTGCAAGACACCATCAACCTGGCTGCACAGAACCAGGAGCTCCAAACCCAGAACCAGGAGCTCCAAACCCAGAACCAGGAGCTCCAAATCCAGAACCAGGAGCTCCAAACCCAGAACCAGGAGCTCCAAACCCAGAACCAGGAGCTCCAAATCCAGAACCAGGAGCTCCAAACCCAGAACCAGCAGCTTTGGCAGGTTGCAGACTAGGCTGGGGGCTACACACGGTTATGCTGGATCCTTGCCTTGGGGAGAAATCTGGTGAATAGGAATCCTTCAGGGGAAGTTTCCTCTCTCCTTATTCTTTTTAATTTTTATTTTTTTAATCCTCACCCAAGGACATTCTTGCACTTATCTTCAGATAGAGCAGGAGAGAGAGAGGGAGGAAGAGAGAGAGAGAAACATTGATGTTAGAGAGACACACCAACTGGCTGCCACCCACACAACCCCAACCATGACCTGGGACAAACTGCAACTGAGGTACATGCCCTTAGTGGGAACTGAACCCGGACTCTCTGGCCTGTAGGCCGATGCTCCAACCACTGAGCCAAACCGGCCAGGGCTCTCCTTCTTTTTCTTAAAACATTTTTATTTATTGACTTTTAGAGAGCAAGAGTAGAAACATCGTGCCCAGCCAGTGTGGCTCAGTGGTTGAGCGTCGACCCATGCACCAAGAGGTTGCCAGTTCAAATCCCGGTCAGGACACATGCCAGGTTGTGGGCCCAATGCCCCGTGGGGGGCATGCAAGAGGCAGCCAATCGATGTTCTCTCAGCGATGTTTCTGTCTCTCCCTCTCCCTTCCTTTCTCTCTAAAATCAATAAAGAAAAAAAAATTTTTTTAAAGAGAAATATCAATTTGTTGTTTCACTTATTTATGCATTCATGGTTGATTCTTTTTATTTATTTATTTAATTCCTCACCTCAGGATATTTTTCCATTTATCGACAGAGTAGGAGGGAAGGAGGGAGAGAGACAGAGAGAAACGTCAATGTGATAGAGCCACATCAACTGGTTGCCTCCCACACAACCTGACCAGGGCCGGGGATGAACCACAACCGAAGTACGTGCCCTTGACAGGAATCGAACCTGCAACTCATTGGTTGGCAGGCCGATGCTCTAACTGCTGAGCCAAACCGGCAAGGGTCATTGGTTGCTTCTTCTATGTGCCCTGACTGGGAATCAAACCCACAACCTTGGTGTATTAGGACAATGCTCTAACCAACTGAGCTACCAAGCCAGGGCTCTTCTCTCCTCATTTTTTTTTTTTTTATCCTCACCCGAGGACGTTTTTGCATTTATCTTCAGATAGAGCATGAGGGAGAGGAAGGAAGAGAGAGAAAGAAACATCGATGTGAGAGAGACACATCAAGTGGTTGCCACTCACAGGACCCCAACCGGGGCCGGGGACACACTACAACAGAGGGATGTGCCTTAGAGGGAACCAAACCCGGGACTCTCTGGTCCCCAGGCCGATGCTCCACCCGCTGAGCCAAACCGGCCAGGGCTCTCTATTCATTCTTAAGGGTCCTAGAAGGAAGAAAAAGTTGGGACACAATAACCAAGCTAACCTTCATTACAGATAATACCATCAGTAACCAGGTCTCACTGTACTACTTTCTGCTAAGCGCCTAATATCCATTATTTCATTTGGCCTTTTCTACTACCCAAAATTGTTGTAGTTACCACTGACCCCCATTTCAGAGCTAAGGCAACTAAAGCCAGGAAAGGTTAAGTATCTGCCCAAGGACAATCAACTAGTAAGCAACAGAGGCAGAATTCAAATTCAGGTCCAGCTGGCCACCGCTCCACACAGCAGACAGCAGTGGTTCATGGACTGCAATGTGCATCAGAACCACCTAGCAAGCTGCTTAAATAAGAGATTCCCAAACCCCACTCCCTAAGATTTTGCTTCAGTAGGTCCGGGACGCTTTAAAAACAAGTTTACCAGGTATTCTATCATGGGAGTAGGACCTGACATTCTTCTGCTATGAGATCAGATGACAGGCAGGAGTATCAGTGAGGAATCCAGAGGAAATGAGAATCATAACCACACTGTGTTCTGAAGAGTTCTCTGGTCTCGTCTAGTTTGTCCTGTTAGACCTAGCGACTTCTATTCCCAAGATGCCTCCAAACTCCCAGCGCCCAAGTTCTGTGCTTCAGGAAAATTTCAAAAGCCCTGTGATTGAGAACAGTCTTGGCTCCACGGAGCCCTCAGAGGAAACAATGCTGCTGGCAACAGTGGGGAGAAAACACCTTTTCTCCTCGTCTGTAATATACCCCAGGACTAAGGTAAGGGAACCAGGGGAACAAAATGTTCTCAGGAGCCACGCAACACAGAAGACACAGGACAATCATGGCTGATTGTAGGAATTGCCTACACTCTAGAATGCTTTATTAAGACCTTATTGCTTATGCAGTTGGACGTTGGTTGAGCTATACAAGTTTCCCTGTGCTGGTCCCAGGTCACTCTGTGCAGAGTTTCTGTGGCTGTTGGGAGCTGGGACACTGCCAGGCAGGGGCAGGACCTACAGTGGGAAGGACGGTAACTCCTAAGAGATGTAGAGGGGCAGTGGGCTTCAAGAGGGTCTTTGGGTGAGAAAAGAGATCAGGAGTATAGGCTTAAGCCAGGGCCCAGGGACAACATTTCCTGAGATGAGTCAAGCCCCAGCCCCTCTGGGGTTCCCAGAACAAAGGCTGGGTGTGGAGAACAGCATTGTGGAGGAAGCAAGGATGCAGTCTCCTGGTGCTGCTGGAGCTTGGGGAGCTTGGCAGAATGATCAAGGTGATGGAATTTGTGGCAATTGGGCTTTCCTGTAGGACAGTGGGGATGAGTATCCTTTATGGGTGAATCATGTGCCACAGCTGGACTGGGCAGCCAGCACCAGGCCTAGGGGCAGTGGGTCTGCAGGGGTGGCCACAGTAGGCAAGGAAAACCAACTGTTGCCCATGCCCCACTTTAAGCAACTGTATTCATGTGCAGGATGAGGAAGGGAACCTGCTTCATCAGCGATGGGGTCATTTCTCAGACCTTGGTATTGATTCTTTTTTTTTGTTTGTTTTTGTTTTGTACATGCCCCTAGTGGGAACCGAACCTGGGACTCTCTGGTCCTCAGGCCAACGCTCCAACCGCTGAGCCAAACCAGCCAGGGCTTGATTCTCTCTTAATTCATTAGTCTGGAAGAACTTGGGAGGATGGTGGTGTTTAAGAGTGTCCAGTTTCCTTAACCAAACCCACTCTAAAAGTCTCTCAGGGGTACTCCTTCATCCATCTACCTGGCTGCTCTCATTTCCCCAGCTTTTCTCACAAGGCACTTGTTACCGGGCTGCTGAGGGAAAGGGGGCTGGAGGTGGCTCTGATGGCAACACACAATCTGGGGTCAGGAGTCAGGGTGGTGGTGGTTAGGGGCTAGCGGCTGCCATAGTACAGGTGCACTGCCAGACCAATGAGCACTGCAGCCAGGAAGAAGGCAGCTGTGAGCTGCAGCCGCAGCAGGGCTGCTGAGAGCACGGCGTTGACCACCAGTGAGCAGGACACCACAAAGAGTCGCGTGATGCTGCTGCCATGCTTCATCACAGCTGACATGAGCAGTCCATTTAGAGCCTGGCTCAGCACCACGAGCGCTGCCCATCCTGAGAAGCCCTCCAGAAGGCCTGGGCCGGGGCCACCACCTACATGCAGACCTAGATTCAGGAGCACACCAAAAGTGTAAAGGAAGAGGTTCTGAAGTGCCAGGGGCAGCCGCTGTCGCTTCATGAGCAGCTCTGTGTACACAGACGACAAGCCTGAGATGAGGCAGTACAGGATAAGGAGCAGCAATCCTAGTGGAGTGATATGTAGGGGCATGGGACCAGCCACAGCTGTTGGAGGGGACCCAGAAAGAGTGTTCCCAGGGTCCTGGAGGCCACCAGCTGCATAGCAGGCCCCTGCTGCCATCAGCAGCAGCAGTGCTAAGCCCTGACGTGCAGAGAGGCGGTGCCGGAGGCAGAGGCAGTAGAACAAGGCCGTGCTTCCAATCTTGAGATTGCTCAGTACCTGGTAGGTGCTGGGGTCCATGTATCGTTGAAGATAGATCACCAGGTTATTATTAGCTCCATAGAGCAAGGCTGGTAGTGCAAAGGGGGCAGCCTGGCGCCAGGGTGGGCCCCCCCGGGGCCATGCTTGCCAGCTCACCAGGAGGGAGAAGGCGCACAACAGCAGCTTGGTCAGCTCAGTCAGAAGCACAGCTGAGGAGGGTCGGAAGGGCACTTGGCCATCCACATGGCACAGTGCCAACAATGGTGCATGGGCACCATACATGGCAGTGGACAGGAGCAGCATCAGGGTCCAGCGGGCCTGTCTGCGACCGCCCAGGCCTGGCACACCCCCGTCCTCTACACTCATGCCCACACCAGACCTTGGATTGGCCTGTGTAACCAGCAAGGGGCAGTGAGAATTGTGACACGTTTCAGGAGGATCAAGATATGGAGTTGGCTCCCAGGAGGCAGGAGCCGTGGTACATCTCCAGAGACAAAAGTGAGGATCATAGTCAGGGCGGGAAAAGGTCTGATGGCCTTAGAAGCCACAGTCTTGGGATCAGTCCCATGGGGTCAGGGAGGGAAGGAGGAGTCCAGGGTGCTGGCTGATGAGCTACTGTCCACCCTCTGCAGGAAGGGAAGCAAGGATGAAGGTGGCAGGAAAGTTGGAGACAGCAAATGGGTGACAGCCGGGGAAGCCAGATATGGTGTTTGTGGTCGAAAGGCCTCCACCTGCAGGCTCCAGCTGCTCATCCTGCCTCCCCCATGGGATCCAGAGCTAGCCAGGCCCTTTGCGCAGTGATCGCAGATAGTCTTTTAATGTCTTCTCCACATTGGGCACAGCATAGGCCTGAGCTGCATAGATACCAGTGCAGGCACCCACGGCAAAGCCCAATACTGCTGATGCCCTCAGTTTGGCCACCACATAGCCAGCCAGGAAGCCTTTGAGGAATGGGGAGGACAAGAACGAGCCATCCTGTGGAAGAAGATTCAGGAGGAAACTCAGTAGGTTCTCCCCTTCTCTAATCAGGAGCTACACAAGCAGGGCTTAGAGCATCCTACAACCTGTTCCTTCTTACTCTGGAAAGTTGTATTCTCTCTAAAGATTTCCTCAAGGTTCTGGAAGCAGAAAAATATCCTAGGAGTCCTGATCACATACTCTCAGAACCCTGGGGTTAGGAGGCTCCAAACACAGAACCCTACTGCCACAAGGCAACAGAGATGTCCCTGAGGAATCTGACCCTGCTTGCTTCTCATTTCCTAGAATGGTTTCTCACTACTGCAGCCAAACTGAACTGCTTTCATCCCCATGTTCATCATGCTACTTCCCACCACAACAACATTGCATATGTTGTTCCAACTGTCTGGAATGTGCCCTCCTCTCCTCCTCACCTAGTTAACCCCTATTTAAGATCCCAGTTCAAGCGCCATTTTTCCAGGGAAACTTTCCTTAAAGTCACAGAGAACTGGCTCTCAATAACCATTTGCTGAATAAATCTCTACCACCCATTCAAAAGCATATGGGGCAATGAAGCCTAAGCTAGGTGGGGTCAGATGCAGTGTTACCTGGCCCACACCACTGCTGACTTCGTCTTCTACACGCTGCTGCAGGCGCTCTAGCTGGTTCTTGAGAAATGCCAGGTCCTTAAGCTTGGGCAGAGAATCCTAGGACAAGGGAGAAACAGGCTCCAGCAGACGGACCTAGCCCCATCCCCTGCTCAAGTCTACCAGAGGCTGGGGAGGAAGTGGGAATGGAGTGAGCCTGAGAAACCTCTTCATATAATACCTTCCTGAGATGACAGTGATAAAGGAAGAAAGTGCATTGAAAAGGACAGACTTCTCATTGGGGTCAAGAAGGGGGTGACAGATGGGATGTGCACCAGTTAATTTACAGGAACTTTATATAGTAAGCAGCCTGTAAGGAAGGCAGAGGGACAGCGAGGAAACCTTTAATTAGATCTATCAGGAAAGTACTAATGACTTGACTATAAGCTACCTGGAAGTGGAGACCAATCTGTCTAGTCTAATGCAAGACTAGCAAGTACTTAGTAAATGTGTAAGTGGTGCTGAACTTCCAGAGCAAAAGTAAGTAATGGCCTGAGGCAGTTCCCTGGACAATTTGGCGGTAAATATGGTTTCTGCCCCGGCTTCTCCTTACCCCCAAGGCCAACCCAAACTGAACGTGTGACTATGCACGCGCTCGGGAGGGTGGAAGGACGGGCACTGGCTGTCTGTAGAAGTGTGGGTAAATGAACTGAGTGATTTTAATAGCATGTAAGTATGAAATTCACTGGGAGCGCAAGAGAGTGAATGAAGGTGTCAGTGTGAATTGGAAACAACGTGTCTCAGGGAAAGGACATTTCGAGGGCTAGGGAATGGAGCAAATAAGGAGTGTGTCAGAGTGAAAGGCTTTGAGTGTGAGTATATAGGGATCGTGATGGTCCCCCAGAGGGGCTACTTGGAGGATCCTCAGCTCCGTTTGCCTCGCGGAGCGCTCCGCCACTCTACTCCACATTGTTGAGGCCGTCGGCATGAGCAAGTCTGTCCCCAGAGCAAACAAGGCGCAACCCCACCCATGAGCCGCTCTTGTGTCGTCTTTCCCCAGGACTAAAAAGATGTGAAACCACCCCCACTGCACATCACCCCACGGTCACTCACCTTGTCATCCGCCATCTTCCCCGTGGAGCTTCTTGCGCAGGCGCAGCCCCGCCTCCCTCATACCAAGTGCTTCGGCCATCATTACTGAGGGCGGAGGCACTTCCGGGGCATTTTTGGAAAGGCTGTGGGCGCTTTCTTGGCGGCCGAGCCCAGGCGGTCTCTTGCCCACAGATACTTCCACGTGACTCCTCCAGTCGATTCCTAGCTGCGCGTGCGCGCGCGCAGACCTGGGCGTGATGGTCTCACTCGTGCGCGTGTGAGCGCGGCGCACATTCGCCTGGCCGGTCATCTGGTGCTTTATGAGCTCGTAGTTGCGTGGTGGTGTCGGCTGGTGCGCTGGCAACGGTGCTCCTCCCCCGGACCCACGCACGGAATCGAGCACCGACTCCGGGATCCAGACGCCTGTTTACATGCGCCACCTCTGGGCGGGCGGCGCTACTCAGGCCCGTCCTATTCCAACCCCGGACCCGGCCCCTGTCCCGCCCCGTATTTGTGCGGCGTCCGCTGGCCCGGCTGACTCCGGCGCAGAGAGGCTGGGCTTGTCGGCGCAGCAGCTCCAGAGGTCGAGCTGGGTTGAGAGTGCAGGCCAGCAGAGGCCGGCGGGGACGCGGGGCTATGCTGGGCAAGGATTACATGCTGGCCATAATTCTGGTCAACTGCGATGGTGTGCACGGAGGGACCCGATGGGAGGGAGGACTGCAGGTTGAGAGGGGAAAAGGGAGCACGAAAGGCTACCCCAAGGCTCAAAGACAGGGAGGAGGGTATCCCGGGGTGAGAACCAGGGTACAAATGAACCCTAATCTTTGCACTGTAATAATATTCAAGATTGAGAGCCTGGACCGTCAGCCTGTACTTCCAGCATAAGGGTTGACAAGGTGTAATTCTGAACCCACAAATATGTCCTCCTTCTTCAATCCTGTGTTCCCCCTCCCCATTCCGTGTTCCTGTAGATGACTTGTGGGGGGATCAGAATCTGGAGGGAGAGCCAGGCCTGCCCCCTGGCTGGAGGAAGATCCACGATGCTGCTGGTACTTACTATTGGCACGTACCCAGTGGTAGTACCCAGTGGCAGCGCCCAACCTGGGAACCAGGAGATGGAGAGGACCCAGGCACAGGCACGGTAGGTGGAGTGTGAGGAGGGGGCCTGAGCTCATGTGTGAACCTAGCCTGCTGCTACACTGACTTAGCCCACTCTCTGCAGAGGACGGAAGGGATTTGGGAATTTCGGCCCCCCAAGGGGAGATCCTTCTCCAGCCTGGAGAGCTCACTGGACCGGAGGTAAGGGATAGGCCAGGCCATATGAAAGGCTTGGGGGTTCCATGGCACTCAAAAGATGCAGCTGGAGCTACAGTCTGCTTTCCAGCCCAGGTTCTAAACTCTGGCCCATGTTCCTGACTCATTTTGAGTTTTGTCCTCGTTCCAAGCTGTCTTTTGCCACATGTTCTTTTCCATGTCCTGGGTCCTGACATATCATGTTCTAGATCTTGGCCATTGTCCTGGGCTGTGTTGATGGAGGTTCCCATCCTGTGTTGGGTCTCTTATCCCAATTTGGGGCTCTGGTTTGCATTTTGAACTCAGTTCCATGTTTGCAACATTTATTCTATGTCCTGTGTCCTGAATTTTTTCTCAGATTCTAAGTCACACTCCTTATGTTACATTTATGTAAAATGTCTGGGATGTGTCCTCTAGTTTTACATTTGAAACACTATATTCAGGGTCTTATCACATATTTTTTGCTTATCAAGTAGTCTGGGCCTCACCAGTGTCCCTTCTGTAGAGAATGTGGTCCTTTACCAGCTCTGTTCTGTTCCAGTAACTCTCTGTCCTGGTATGGTGAGGAATCCTACATCCAGAGCATGGAACCAGGGGCAAAGGTAGTGACTTGGGCCTGAGGGCCAGCCCATGGCATTGGGGAGGGTCCCAAGAGAAAGGTCAGGGGTGGGATTAGGGTGAGCAGAGATGATCAAGGGAGGGAGCATGAGAGGGTTTGTATATGTGGAGCCTGTGACATCTTTTATGCTACTCTACCTCTATTCACTCTGGACCCTCCTGTCTTTCTCCCAACCAATCAGTGCTTTGCAGTCCGCTCTCTGGGCTGGGTAGAGGTACCGGAAGAGGATCTGGTACCAGGGAAGAGCAGTATTGCAGTCAATAACTGTATCCAGCAGCTGGCCCAGACCCGCAGCCGGAGCCAGCCCCCAGATGGTGCCTGGGGCGAGGTGAGCTAGCCAGCCCTTCAAGGGGTTCAGTCCAGGGTCCAGCAGATATAGTTGTCTCTGAATTGCCTATTCCCCATGGCAACCACCTTCATCTGACTTCTGGGCTGCCCCCTGTCCTTGGCAGGGCCAGAACATGCTAATGATCCTGAAGAAGGATGCCATGAGCCTGGTGAATCCCCTGGACCACAGTCTGATTTACTGCCAGCCTCTGGTGCACATCCGTGTATGGGGTGTGGGCAGCTCCAAGGGCCGGTGAGGACCCCTGCATCCCCTCAAGTGAATGTTGCTCCTTCCATCCCCCTGTAGGCTGTGCTCCCCACTGATGCTGATCCCTTGTACTTGAACCCCTGGACACAGATCCTCTGACATGGACCCAAGCTCTGCCTGCCCTGCCTGGTGTAGGCCTGGTTGGGGAGGGTGGGCTCAGCTCAGCAGGGACAGATCGGGGACAGCCTGAGAGGCTGAGGTGATTCTCTCCTGTGCTCCCACATGCTTCCGGAACAGTGACAGGTGAGTGACAGCCAGGTGCCTTGAGCCCCAGCCCTGATCTTCCTGTCCATCCTTTCCATATCCCTTGCCTGCCTTTCTAGCCTCCTGCAGGCATTACAGGCTCATGCCCCTATCCAGCCTCCACCCCAGCCCTATCTCTGACCTGCCAGGGACTTCGCTTTTGTGGCGGGTGACAAAGACAGCTGTATGCTCAAGTGCCATGTGTTTCGCTGTGACGTCCCTGCCAAGGCCATTGCCAGTGCCCTACATGGGCTCTGTGCTCAGGTAAGGGCCAGGAATGGGTAGGGAAAGTGAATGGAGCTGGGTCTGAAGCTTCCAGGGTGGTGGGAGCAGGGTGGTATTGGCTCTCTTACCTCAATTTCCCTCTCCCTCAAGCTAGCTGCATTGTGTTTCAGATCTTGTCAGAGCGAGTAGGGATCAGTGGTGATTCCCCTTGCTGTTCTCTAGACCCCATCTCTCCTGAAGATCTGCCAAGGCAAGGTATGGAGAGGGAGGTCCTGCATTGCAGTGACAGGCTATTTTAGTGAAAGATGGGGGAGGGGTCCTGGTTACTTAGTACTTCGTTGGAGATATGGGGCCTCTGAGGTGTCCTGGTTCTAGGAATCCCAAGCCCTGAAGTGGAGGCTCATCCATGGTTTTTTCTTCTATCATCTGCTAGCTCCAGCTCTCTCTCAAGGGTGGGGAGGGGATGTTGAGAGAGCACGCAGGTTGACCTGCCATGTATATTTCAGCGGAGCTGCTGGATGCGGTGAGCCAGGCTGCTCAGAAGTACGAGGCACTGTACATGGGGACTCTGCCAGTTACTAAAGCCATGGGTGAGGACTGAGCATGCTGGAGCGGGTGGTGGACTATAAGGGAAGGGGCAGGTGGGTGAGTTAGGATCTACCACTGTTTCTCAGCGTGCTTCCATGGCCCTGTACGGCCTGGGATGTACCACCCTTCCCAACTCAGGATTCTAAACCCAGCCCCAGGTATTCTCTTCCCATTTCTCTGAATTCCAAGTCAGTGAGAGGGACGCTCCCTGCAGATTCCTTCCTTCTTTATGTCTGGGAGACACCGTGGTGGGTATTTCCCCCCAGGAATGGATGTGCTGAACGAGGCCATTGGTATCCTCACTACCCGGGGGGACCGGGATGCCTGGGTCCCTGCCATGCTCAGTGTGTCTGACTCTTTCATGACTGCACATCCCATTCAGGTACCAGAAGGTGAAGTTGGAGGCTGTGGAGGGGTGGGCAGGGATGCTGGGTTTCATTGCTTGCTGCTGGAAAGAGCTCAGTGGGTCCAGCCTGTGCCTAGCCCTCTAGTGACTAGGCCTGGTGTGGGCAGGCAGAGGCTGATACAGAGGAGGAGCCACTATGGCAGTGCCCTGTGCGCCTTGTGACCTTTATTGGTGTTGGCCGCGACCCACACACCTTTGGCCTCATTGCTGACCTGGGCCATCAGAGCTTCCAGTGCGCAGCCTTCTGGTGCCAGCCCCATGCAGGGGGACTCTCTGAAGCTGTGCAGGCTGCTTGCATGGTGAGTTAGGGGTGGGAATGGTGGGTGGGGTTGTCCTGCAGCTGCTTTGTACTGGTGACGGGCTCAGGATTGGCAGACTCTCCAGAAATCACAAACCAGTGATACCAGGGCTGACTAGCTCATAGTGTTTTATTAAGTTTAATAAGTTGCCAATATTGAAAGGCCAGGGCATTTTACATAATAATTGTCTTTCATTTTTTTTCTTAAAATATCAGAAGCTCTGATACTTTACATGCACAAATTTCAACATTCAGCTGGAATTGTATAGGGCTGTGCCCTGTAGGTTGGCCATTCTTTCCTTTTTGTCTCATTTAGGTTATTTTCTGGTATCTCTGGGCATTTGAGTATGGAATGCTTTCACTTTTCAGTTAACTCATTCACTCAACAAATATATGAGTGTCTGCAGGATACCAGGCACCGTACTTGACCCTGGGAATTCAGTAGTATAGAGGGCACAGACTTAGGTTAAAGCAGAGACAGACCAGAAAGAACTTGTACACCACAGAATGATGGAGGAGAAGGTCCATTCAGGGGTTCAAGCCTACTTGTAAGAGGTGATAGGAAATGGAGAGTTGAAGGTCCAAGGAGGATGTTAGCTAGGTGAAGGGGAGTAGGACAGAAGATGTGCCAAGTACAGGGAACGCCAGCTGTGACGGTGAAAGCTGTCAGTGGATTAGAGGATCTGAGAGAATCTAGTATATCTGGAGTGCTAGGGGGGATGAGTGAGAGTTGGAGACAGAAAGAATGGCAGAAACCAGGTCATGGAAGTACTTATAGGTCAGGGTGATGAGCTCACTTTATCCTGAGGCACTCTGAGCCACTGAAAGGTTTTGAGCAGGACAGTGAAGTCAGGTTTGTGGATTAGGAAGACCACTTAAGCTCTAGTGCAGGTAAAAGATTTGGAAGACATAAGAAGTAGAAACACCATTGAGGACCTTGTTGAGTTCAAATGAGAGAAGATTGGGGCAGTTGCATTGGGAATGGAGTTTGAGTGGAAGACCCTTCCTTGACTAGGAAATCCACTTTGCTAGGGGCCAGTCCACTCCAGTGAGAGATGGAGAGTCAGCATAGTGGTAAGGTTTGGTTAAGAGCACAGGCTCGGTAGTCAGACAGACTAGGTTTGAATTCCAGTTCTACCATTTTCGGGCTAGGTGACCTTGGGCAAGTCATGTATTCTCTCTAAATCTCAATTTCCTCATTTGTAAAATGAAGATAATAATACTTGATAGATAATTGGATTGTTACATTATACAAAGCATTTAGCACAGTATCCAGCCCCCCATAAGTGCTCAGTAAATGTCAAGTGTTATGTTTTTGTTCTTGAGCTACCTGGGAATGCTGCAGGGGCTTCAGACGTGGTGGACTATGAGCCTCCTATCAGACTGAAGCCTTGGCCAGTCCCCTGTCCTGCAGAAGCTCTCAGGGAGTCCGAGGCAGAAAGGAGCTGGATCCTCACATACCCCTTCTCCCTAGGTTCAGTACCAGAAGTGTCTTGTGGCCTCTGCAGCTCGAGGCAAGGCCTGGGGTGCCCAGGCCCGTGCCCGCCTGCGGCTCAAGCGGACCAGCTCTGTGGACTCCCCAGGAGGTCCCCTGCCTCTCCCTCTACTCAAAGGAGGGGTTGGGGGTACAGGGGCAGCCCCTCGAAAGCGGGGCATCTTCTCTTTTCTTGATGCCTTCCGGCTGAAACCCTCTCTGCTCCATATGTCCTAAATTGATCTGGGAGGACTGGGTAAAGAGACTCTGGGTCCATGCCCAACACTTTACCCCTTCGTTCCCCAGGGGCCTGCTGCCTCTCACCCTTTGGAGCCTTCTCTGCCTGTCCCTCCAACCTTGCGCACCCTCTATTTATTGCCCAATTTATTAATTGTTTATATGGATAACTGAGAGGCCCTGCACCAGAACTTAGGACCCTGGCTCTCCTTTCCCTGGGTCCCTGTGTTCCTTGCCCCTGTCCAGCCCTGGACAGTTGGCTCTACCTCAGCAACACTTTATAGCAAAATCAGTACAAATAAAAATCCCTTAGTGACTTCACTGGGTGTGAGTATATTGGGCCTGGGACAGGGTTGGGGGATTAACCTGAGTGAAGTGAGTGTCTTTGTGCTTGGTGTTGGTGGCTGCCTGTAGTCACATGAGGGCATGGGTGTGATGGAAATCTGACTTAATTCGATAAATATATTTTCTAAGGTCTTCCCTGTGCTAGGCACTAAACTCAGCATTGGGGATGTAACAAAAGAGGGTTTTCAGTTTCTGAGACTGTCAGGGAGACGAGCAAGATAGAAGATAGTATGTAGTACAACTAGGAAATCTCAGAGGGTTGTGGGAGCTCAGATGATATGCAACCTGGCCTGAAGTAGTACTAGGCCTCCTGATAAGTTGACATCTGAGTACTGAAGGAGTTTTGTTCTAGTAATCAAGCCTAGAGAGTATTCGTGTAGAGCCAGTGGTCAGAGGTGAGGTTCTAGAACTCTCTACCTGGCTAGGTCAGAGGGGCATGTGTGGGGCTAGAGCTTCTGGTGGTTTAAACTTGCTCCTGAAAGCACTTGTGAGACGTGGAGAAATTGAGGGTACCCGGGCTCCTAGAGCGCCGCCTCCTGGAAGACAGCTCCATTTGATGCCCTGTGACCAGGGCCCGTCCCTTAGAGAATGGGTGCAGGGTCGCAGCAGCTGCTGTCCAACCAGAAGGGCTCCAGGGAACCAGGCGGGGCGGGGCGCGCCCAGCAGCGAGGACCTGCGGACGCTCCGGAAGTGACGTGCTGCCCCGCTGGCTGTGCGGAAGTGGAGATGGCGGAGCTGTACGTTAAGCCGGGTGAGCGAGGCTGCAGGCGAGGGGCGGTGACAGCGCGGGGTGCGGACCCTCCGGCTCCCCCGGGCTCGCTTCACACTTGCTCTCCCATCCGCAGGCAACAAGGAGCGCGGTTGGAACGACCCACCGCAGTTCTCCTACGGGCTGCAGACACAGGCCGGTGGACCCAAGCGCGCTCCGCTGACCAAGAGGGTCGCCGCTCCCCAAGATGGAGCCCCTAGAGGTGCGTGGGGACCCAGGGCGCGGAGACCGGCCGACAGTGGGCGGTGCCAGGGATAAGCTTGTCCCGAGGTTCCTCTCTGCTCCTCTGAGGATTCTGTGGGGGAGAGGCTGAAGTCCCAGAAAGGGCCTCAAGGCAGACCCTTTTCTGATCCCCTCCTCTACTGCCCAGGTTAATAAATGGTACGTTGGTTTCAAAAGACTCACTCTATGCTTTCATCCAAACCTATGGCTTTAATGCAGTTTTTACTCGCAAGTTATTTTCAAATTGTATTTCCAACCCAGATCTCTTCCCAGAACTCCACAGGGGTATATCCATTTGTCTGTTCTACATCTTCACTTGGCCATATAATAAGCATCTCAGACTTAACGAGTTCTTCATTCATTATCATCTACTGAGCACAGCTATGAGCCAGGCACTGTTTGAGGACAAACTAGACAGCAAAGAAAAAGACAAAAAGGTTTCTGCTTTCATGGAGTTCACACTGTAGCTTTGGCGACACACAAATGAAATAGTGGTAAGGGCTCTGCAGAGAAATAAAAGATGATGTGACCAGGTAACTAAGGTGTCTGAGGGGCTGACATTTATGCTAAAATCTGAATGATGATTAAAAACTACCCACAGCCCTGGCCGTTTTGGCTCAGTGGTTGGAGCGTCAGCCTGCAGACCAGAGAGTGCTGGGTTCGGTTCCCGCTAGGGGCATGTAAAAAAAAAAAAAAAAAAGATGTTTTGAGAGAAACATCAATACACTGAGTGGCTGCCACCCATGAGACCCCAACAGGGGCCAGGAATGAACTGCAACCGAGGTATGTGCCCTTGGCTGTAAATTCTATTACACTTTGAAAATGAAATGTTTTCATAAACATTGGCTTTATAATTAATAAAAAGTAAAAACTACCCACAGATCAGGTGCCAAAGCATTTCAGGCATTGGAGACTGCTACTGCAAAGGTCTGGAGAACACGTTTGGCAAATTCAGAAACTAGTGGCTATAGCACAGTGGGCTATGGATAGAGATAAAAAGTAGGCAGGGGCCAGATCACAGTTGGTTTTGTAAGCCAGGATAAGGAGTTTATATTTTTTAAAAAATATGTTTTATTGATTTTCCAGATAGAGGAAGGGAGAGAAACATTGATCGGCCACCTCCTGTATGCGTCCGTCCCCCCCACCCCCCCCAGGAGATTGAGCCCACAACCCGGGCATGTGCTCTGATCAGGAATCTGACCAGGAATCAAACAGGGACCTCTCAGTCCATGGGATGACGCTCAATCCATTAGAGAACTGCCTTTTCCCCAGAGCAGCCCTGAAAAAGAGACTCCGATTAAGTTTTTCAGCTGTAGCACTGCAGAGAAACGATATAAACTAGGATTTCGTACCCTTGGCATTATTGACATTTTGAGCCAGATAATTCTTTATGGTGAGGGACAGTCTTGTACACTGTAGGATGTTTGCAGCATCCCTGGTCTCTACCCATTAGATGTCAGTTAGCACCCATTTGTTGGGACAAAAGGTAGCTTCAGACATTTGCCCTGAGGGCAAACTCTACCGAGAAGCACGGACTGATTTACATTTTAAAAAAGGTCATTGTATCTGCTGTGTGGAAGATTTTGGGGAAGAGGTGGACAATTTAGAGACTATTGATAACATAAACAAGATTTAATGATGATTTAGACAAGGGTGGGAGTACTAGAGGTGGTAGGAATGATATGGGATGTGTTATGGAGAATGTAAGAATGAGTAGTTGAGGGAAAGATATAACTGTTATGGAGAATGTAAGAATGAGTAGTTGAGGGAAAGATATAACTTGCATTTTTGCTTGAGGGACTGGCTGGTATTTATTGTTCACTGATATCTGAAGACTGGAGAATAATTTTGGGGCGAGGGGAAAGCAAGCTTTCTTTCTTGGCCATGTTAAATTTGGGCTGCAATTTTGGGGAGAGGTATAGGGCAGAATTACAGAAATGAGTCACCATCATATGGATGGTATTTGATGTCATGGATTTGACTAAGTTACCTAGGTAGAGTGTGTGGCTACAGGCCTAAAGTGGACCCAGGACAGAGCAGAGCCCTAAGGCTGTGTAGCATTTCAAGGTTAAGTAGAGAAGGAATTAGCAAAGGAGACTGAGAAATATCCAAAGTAGTAAGAAAAGTCTCTGGGAGAGAGTAAAATCTATTTTTTAAAATTGATTTGAGAGAGAGAAACATCAGTTTGTTGTTCCAGTTATTAATGCATTCATTGGTTGATTTTTTTTTTTTTTTTTTAGATTTTTCTCTCACTACACTTTTATTTATTTATTTTTTAAAAATAATTTTATTAATTTTTGTTACAGATATTTCCCCTTTTTCCCCCACTGATTCCCCCCTCCCTTGGTTGATTCTTGTATATGCTCTGACTGGGTAGTGAACCTGCAACCTTGACTTATTGAGACGATATTCTAACTAACTGAGCTATCTGGCCAGGACCAGAGAGTAAAATCTTGATTCAACCATGATGAATGCTGAGAAGTCAAGAGAAGAGAGACCATCTGCTAGTTTTTTGCTTTTGTTTTTTAATTTATTTTTTTTTTCTTTATTGATTTTTAGAGAGAGGGAGAGATAGAAACATCGGTGAGAGAACATCAGTTGGCTGCTTCCTGCATGCCCCCCACTGGGGATCGGGCCCACAACCTAGCTATGTGCTCTGACCCAAAATCGAAACAGCAACCTCTTGGTGCATGGGTCGATGCTCAACTACTGAGCCACACCAGCCAGGAGTAGTTTTAACATACATAGTGATCACTAATGACCCTAAGAATAATCTGGAGTGATGAGAGCAGAAACCCAGCTGGAATGGGACGAGGAGAGAATGTGAAAAGAGGGAGAGAAGTAACTATAGCCCACTCAAGAAATTCTGCTGTGAAGCAGAGATGAGAAAGGGGGTGGGATACTTTAAGATGGAGTGTGAGATAAGGAAGGGTTTTTGTTTTTAAGATATTGTAGACTAGAGCTTGTTTGTATGCAGATGGAATGGTTCAGTAGAGGGAGAACTGATGGTGCAGGAGAAAGGGGATAATTGTAGGATGGAAGCCTAGAGAAGACAAGAGAGGCTGGGTGCAGAGTCCATCTGGAGAGATGGCCTCTGATAGGAGCAGGAACCTTTCATCTATTGAAGGACGAAGAAAGTGACCTGGTGGTGAGAATATGAGTTCCTGTTTAATGACGTCTATTTTCTCAGTGAAATATGAGGCAGCAGGGAAAGGTAGAGAATGGGAGAGGGGCAGAAAGTTTAGAGGAGATAAGATGTGAGAATAATAGTTCTGAAGAGTGGAAAAATGAGGCAAAGTGTAGGATTTCCAAGCAGCGTTGGATACCTTTTGAAATCTGAAGTCTTGGATTTAAAACGTAACTCCTCAGCATGTTTTTTTCCCTCCCGACAAGTGCAGGCAAATGGGTTTACCAGGAAAGTGGGACAGTGGGAGAGGGGATAAGTGAGGTAAGAGTGTTTATATGGGAGTGATTTTAATGCATGGTTAAGTCTGAGTAGCTGAGCTGGAAAGGTAGGAGGGGTAGTCATATTTTGGGGATGGTTCACTGCTGTTGAGAACATGGCAGAGAGGAATGAGAGGCTGAGGTGGGTGGGAAAAATCACTGGTGGTGAGGAGGTAAAGAAACCAAGAGGCTAAATTATTAGATACATTAATTATCCATGTGGATATTGATACCTAAGAGTAAATTCTTGAATTTTGTTCCTACAGTCTTTCTCTGTAGTGGTTCTACCATCCCATTACTGAAGTCAGAAACCAGGAGTCATTCTTGACTCCTCTCCCTCACCCCTAATCCACCAAGTCCTATTGCTACTCCCTCCTATATAAATCTGACCACTCCATTTCCCCTCATCTCTAGTCTTTCACTTGAGCCCATCCATGCCAGCATCTTCTCTTTCCAGGACAACTTCTCCATTAACCTCCCAACTGGTGTCCCTGCCAGCATTCTTGACCTCTTCTCACCAGTTTGTCACAGAGCATACAGAATTAACATCTTGCCTTTCCCTGCCTCTTGGGCATTGCCCTTACTTCTACCTAGTTAGTACTCGTTTCCTTCAACTCTTCATGGCTGCTTCTATTTCATCCATCAGTTCTTAACTTTGTGAGCACTTTTTGCTACACACTAATCTAAAAGCTGTATCTAGCCCTGGCCGGTTTGGCTCAGCGGTTGGAGCATCGGCCTGTGGTCCTGAGAGACCCGGGTTCGGTTCCCGCTAGGGGCGCGTGCCTCGGTTGCAGTTTGTCCCCGGCCCTGGTCGGTCGTGCGGGTGGCGGCCACTCGATGTGTCCCTTTCACATCGATGTTTCTCTCTCTCTCTCTCTTCCTCTCTCTCCCTCCCACTCTACCTGAACAAAAAAAACAAAAAAAAAGTGTCCTCGGGTGAGGATAAAAGCTGTATCTATATTCTTAGTCATCATTACACCTGTAAAATAAGTGCTATTGCTGTACTATCCCCTTTTACAGAAGAGGAACCCAAGCGCAGAGGTTAAAAGTTACTTGCCAGCCCTCAGTTTGGCCAGTTTGGCTCAGTGGTTGGAGCATCGGCTTGCGGACCAGAGAGTCCCGAGTTTGGATCCCGCTAGGGGCACGTACCACCCCCCCCAAAAGTAACTTGCCAAATGTCACATAGTGGGTGGGCTGGGATAAAATTAGGTAGGTCTTTCTATTCCTCTTTATCACTTAATCCATTTTTACTTATTTCTTTCCTTTTTTTTTGGTTAATCCTCACCTGAGGATATTTTTTCATTAATTTTAAATAGAGTGAAAATGGGGGGGGGGGAGGCATCCATGGGAGACACAGATTGGTTGCCTCCTGCATAACCCCGACCAGGCCAGGGATGAACCTGCAACCCAGGCACACACCCTTGACTGGGAATCAAACCCATGACCCCTTAGTCTGCAGGCTGACGCTCTAACTGCTGAGCTAAACTGGCCCGGCTCCATTTTATTTCTTTGTAGCATGCAACATAATTTGGTGATTTCCTTGTGTTCCTACCTCTACCTCCCTCTAGAATTTAAGCTGCTGAGATTAGGAATCTAATCTGCCTGGTTACTCCTCCCTCTATCTCTGGTGCCTCCCACATTGTCTGGCACGTAGTAGGGACTTATAAATACACATTTTTTTTTTTTTTTATCCTCACCCGAGGACATTTTTCCTTTTTTGTTCTGGTAGAGTGGGAGGGAGAGACAGGAACAGAGAGAGAGAGAAACATCGATGTGAAAGGGACACATCGAGTGGCTGCCACCCGCACGACCAACCAGGGCTGGGGACAAACTGCAACCGAGGTATGCGCCCTTAGCAGGAACCGAACCCGGGCCTCTCGGGACCACAGGTCGACGCTCTAACCGCTGAGCCAAACTGGCCAGGGCTAAATACACATTTTTGAATGAATGAGTTGTCCCAGAGAGTAGCCCTCATTAGAAGGGATGAAATTAGAGTTGAGTTTCTTATCTGTTTCAGCAGCCCTACCTGTGTTTGTTTGATCCTGCTTTACCTTTTCAGTCCCCACCTCAGAGATTTCTCCTGGGGCCCCCCCAATGGGGCCACTTCCTCCTTCAAGTATGGCTTCCAGGCCCCCAGCTATGGGGAGTCGTCCTGCTTCCACTGTGGACTCCACAGATTTCCCAGTCATTGAGTGTGAGACTCTGCTGGAAGATGTGCTGAGACCTCTGGAACAGGCATTGGAGGATTGCCGTGGCCACACAAAAGTAAGCCCTGGCACTCATGGGATGGTGGGGAGGGTTCCTATTCATAGCCCGATGCAGGTATGGCTCCCAAAGGTAGACCTTCTGACCCTATGGGCAGTGGCTCTTAACCCTTTTTGAGTAAGGGACCCCTTTGGAATCTGCTAAGGCCTTCCCAGAAAAATGAACACAGGGTTTTAGGAGGGTTCAAGGGACTTCTGAAGACCATTCAGAAGAGGCTTGTAGGAACCCGAGTTGAATTCAACTCCCATTAGTGATAAATAGCCTGATTATCATACCTCTAGGACCTCTAGGCCATTCAGAGCAGACCTTGCTGATTTTGTGCTCAAGGAGGGAGGGAAACCCTCTTTTTCTGTTTATAGTGTTTTTTGTTTAAATGTGGGGTTTTTTTGGTATGTGCCCCTAGCGGGAACTGAACCCGGGACTCTCTGGTCCACAGGCCAACACTCCAACTGCTGAGCCAAACCGCCCAGGGCTGTTTAAATGTTTTTATTGACTTTTTTTTTTTTTTTTTTTAGTGAGAGAGAAACATCGATGTGAGAGAGAAACATTGATCAGCTGCCTCTTGCAAGCCCCCTGCTGGGGATAAAACCTGCAACCTGGGCTTATGTCCTGACAGGGAGTTGAACCAGGACATCTCAGTCCATGGGACAGTGCTCAGTCCACTGAGCCCCACCAGCTGGGCTATAGTATTTCTTAAGTTCTCTGGAGTCAAGGGATCTGAGGAGTCTTAAAGGAAAGTAGCATAGTAATTTTCATCTATTTGGTCCTTAGGTTCCTTATTTGTCAAATAGCTAAGATGAGTTTTTGGATGTCTGAGAAACTGGAAATTTTTAAATTCTAGGTTTACATGTATTTTTCTTGGAAAGAGAACCATAGGTTTCATCAGATTCCCAGTGGGGCCTCTAACCTTTGGGTAAAGAACCAGAATGCGAAGATTAAGTATAAAGTTCCTGGGCCAGAGAAAGCAGTGCTTCCTATGTGGTGCTAGGTTTCCCTGCCCCTGTTGTGCTGGCAGCACTGATTTGGAGCGGGTTTGTGTCTTAGAAGCAGGTATGTGATGACATCAGCCGACGCCTGGTTCTGCTGCAGGAACAGTGGGCTGAAGGGAAGCTGTCAATGCCTGTAAAGAAGAGGATGGCTCTGCTGGTGCAAGGTATGGGTGGGTCCCTTGGTATAGCCTAAGTCCCATATACCGCCGTGGTTGGCTAAGCTGGAATAGGTGGTGATATTTTGACTGGTTCGGAGGGAAGGAGCGGGAATTGTCTTTTGCCCCAGACTGCTTGCTCAGCCTCTCTTCTCAGAGCTTTCAAGCCACCAGTGGGATGCAGCAGATGACATCCACCGCTCTCTCATGGTTGACCATGTGACTGAAGTCAGCCAGTGGATGGTGGGAGTTAAAAGATTAATTGCAGAAAAGAGGAGTCTGTCTTCAGAGGAGGAAACTAATGAAGAGAAATCTGCAGCCACAGCTGAAGAGAACCAGACCAAACCAGGTGTCCAACAGGATCCATAATCCTGTGGGTTCCCCAGACTCACCTCATAACATCTCCTATGCCTTGGCATGGGAGGCCTTGTTTCACTTGGCTTGTTCTTAGCACTTGGGAGACTATCTGCCCTGTTGGGGTTCTTGGCCTGACCCACCGCTTAGGGAAGAGATCTCATCTGGGCCACAGGGAAGTCACTTGTTACCTCTAACATATGCTTTTCAATAAAAACATCTAAATGGTGGGCCCTGGGTAAGAGAGAAACCTTTCTTATGCCAAACTGGTCACTTTTGGTGCCCTTGACTACCCTGCTCTCTGTGTACCCTACAAACCTCTGTTTTTCCTCTATTCATTATGAATGGCCTTACTAGGCATGACCAGATTACTACCTGCTATTTTCCCCCAAATTAGAACTAAATACACATCCCTTGCTGGGCTAAATAACTCTATCTTTGTATGATTTCATTTCAGCATGAGAACAGAGGTTCAACAGCATGGGGAGAATTTCCCCTCAAGAAAAGGAGATTGCCTTGTTTGCACTGTATCACCCTTGAGGTATGCAAGTGCTCTGAAGATTAGAATCAGATATTAAAACATAGCTGAATAAATTGGAGGAAAAAAGGCCAGATTGCTGAGATATGGGACCATGACTATTTTTTCTTGGAAGTGGGGCTAGGATATAATTATGACTCTTATTTGACTTACCAAATAAGCTGCTGCCTTATTTTGGGCTCTAAGGTCTCTTCTGACCCTTTGAAGAAAACAGTCAGACTGAAGGGGTCTGTGATAAGGGCCAGTTCAGGCTTTCAATGTTGGAATAAGGGGATTGGCAGAAAAGGCATGGGGAGAGACCAGAGAAGGCTAAAAGTTTAGGGCAGTGCCTCTTTTCCTGGTTTGGTATAGATATGGAGGGATTACTGGAGAGGCCTGATTCCAAAAAGGCTGCTTCCTGGAAAGGCTGGAACAGCCCTTGGCAGGGGCCAGGCTAGTGCTGTTTATGGTTTGGTGGCTTTTGTAGCTTGCCCTCACAGCTTGCCAAAGGCTCTAATTGCCACTAGAAGTGGGCTCAATCTGAGCTGGGAAGGAACCTGGGACCTCTGATCCTAATCAGGTCTGCTGGGCCCTCAGCTGTGTGGCTAAGATGGGAAGATCAGCACTGAGAACACTGGAGCCAAAGTGTTTCTTTGAATGTTTACTAAGCAGTCAGACAGTGACATACTCCATCCCTGCCTCAGCCCGAGCGAGGTGGGCTGGGGGTTGAGAGGAGTGCCTACAGACCAAACAGAAAGTAGAGCTAAGGGCTTGGCAAGGTGCCCACTCCTATCCTTGCTCTAGCTGCCTCAGAATGAAGGGAGGCCCAGAACCAAGTCACTCCCTTCCAGATTAGATGAGGCCAGCTGGCCTTTGGATACCCCAGGAAGAGGTGGTGGCAGCAGCGACATGAGGGATTCCTCTAACTCCACACAGGTCATCTGCACTGGATTAGATGTCCATTTCAAATTGTGCGTCATCTGGAGAGAGAAAAAGCAGGAGGACTGGTTGCTGGACTGAGGGTCTGCAGGATCAGCTTCAGTGTAGAAACCCTTTGGACTCGAACCCCCACTCTATTTAACCAGTGCATTTGGATGCAGGCATTTCTTAATTTTAGGTCAGTTCCTGCTTTCCTTACCGGGTATCTGTTCCTCTGTCTGCTTCTGCTCCTTCAGCTCCTCCAGCTTGGAGGGTGGGGCTGTTGGAGTTGTGACCCCGGGAATCTGAGGGAGGCAGCAGGGGGGTGTCCGGGTAATGGGTGAGTTCTTGCACTCCAGCAGGAACTTTCGGTCGTAGATGATCCTGGTGCCTGTCAAGCGGTAGGGGCTACGTAAGAGGCAGGAGCTTGGGTACATAGTTGTCTTGGGTCCCAGAAAGGCCTTTTAGGGACCTAGGGGTCAGATCTCCCTGTGTTTTAAAGGGCAACTGCTCTGCAACCCAGCCAGGATCTCAGCTGACTAGCCTTCATAGTACTTGAAGACTTTCAGGCTTAACCAGGATGTGGCCTAAGCAGGAAGGAACTTTTGGTATAGAGGAGCTTCAGGTCTTGGCTTTAGGAGAACCAAATTTGGAGCTCAGGTACGTGAAGCTTCTCTGCGACTGCATTGCTTTCTTTCACAAGGTGGGGCCTAAACCTCTGGCCTTAGTTGAATCAGGAAGCCAAATAGATGTGAAGGCGGTTCACCCTGTGTTGCCACCTGGGCTCTGATATCGTGCAGGGAGGAGCTGTGTTCGCACGAAACAAGGACATACTGTTCTTATTCTGACTCCTCCCAAGTCCTATCAGGCTCAGCCCTGCCTAGAGGAACTTGGCACCTAACCCTGTCCTCAAAGGGCCTTGTCCTTGTTCTCAGCCCTCCCCTCAGCTTCCACGTGGCAGGAACCCCTGGGTGGGAAGCCCAGCAGCTCCAGATCCCAGACTGCTTGCCCAATCAAACAGCCGCCAGCCAGCCAGCCACACATACCCTGACACCCATGCCCCCAACTGCCGGACCCCTGCTCTAGCAACTCTGCAAAACCTGGTGATTCCTGCTGAGGCCACGTTCACCTGGGGCCTAGGCCTCCCAAGCGGCAAAGTGGGAAGGAGTGGGTAAGCAAGGCACCCAGAACCACAGCCAGTTAGGATTTCAGCCCAGAGGCTCGGAAACGGCTTGGACTCCACCCGCCCTCCCCTACCTCTCCCAAGCTACAACCAGCAGAGGGGCCTGCGGAGGAGTCCAAGATCCGCACCTCCCCACCCTGCCCTCAACAGCGCGTGCACGCGCACGCGCACGGACCTGTCCCCTGCCTTCGGACCCCAGCCCGGCCCGCTGACCTCCCGGGGTAGTGGCGTATAGCGTGCCCCCCGGCGTGGTGCTGTAGCAGTCGGGCAGCCGGTCTCTGCCCCCGGGAATCGGGCAGCTCGTGGCCGTGGACATAGCGAATTAGACGAACAGGAAGGCAAGCGGCTGGTACTGAGGACGTGGAGCACAGCAGTCTGAGGCGGACTCTGTCGACCACGTGCGTGCAGCCCCAGCAACAACACCAAGACAACGTCACGCCCGGGGCGGGCCACCCTCTGCCATTCAGCCCCCGGTCCCGCCCTACCAGCGAGGGAGCAAGTCAGCAAGTCCGCAAGTCCTGGGCTCCCTAAAAGTTGGAAGGAGTCCATGCGGAACTGGCCCGGAGTTCCTCTTGGCAAAATACCGGCCAGCCGGCTTGTGTACTGTAGTTGCTCAGCTATTTACTATTCACTGTTTACACCTGGGCGCTGGGGACAAGTGAGGCACAGCACACAAACTGCCATGTATTAATTCACCCATTCCTTTCAACAGTTTAAGACAGTAAATCACTATCTGCCACATTTTACTGGCGAGGAAACTAAAACCCAGAGAGTTGTTAAGTCACTGGTTCAAAGTCACAAATCTAGGAGTTGCCGGAAGCTGGGATACAGACCTGAGTGTATCTGATTCCAGAGCTTGTGCCTTTCAGCGCAGCTGTGTAACGCTTCCCATTAATTAATTACAGTACAGAGTGAAAAGTGCCTGAAGGCCTGGTACACAGCACGGAAGGGGAAGGGTGGGGATGGAGGGTGGGTTTTCTGGAAGGATACCTGGAAGGATGAATAAAGGTTGGGGGGATAGAAGAGGCCTGCTCTTTGATCTCTCAGCCACAGCTAAACCTATCAGGAATAAGGAAGGGCAAGGGGCTGGCAAGGAGGGCTTGGTTTTTCATTCTCTGGAAAGGGAAGGTCAGCAAGTCTGGCCTTAGATTTTTTTGATGCACAGTGATTTAAAAGGAAACAGGAGAGGTGGTGGGAGAGTAAATCTAGTACCTATATACACTAGTAGTCACTTCATCCAGTTGTATTCTGGCTTCTTCAAAATCAGTATACCTCCATACCCATTACCCTCCAAATAAAGTACAGACCACCTGACTTTATGCATTTAATCAATATTACTTAAGCTCTGGCTTCATCAGATTTTCCCTTAGCTCTGATTTCTTCACTAATTTTTTTAAAAATGACTATTTTATAAGTCAATGCTTCTCAGACTTCAACGTGCACATAAATAACCTGGAGAGCTTGTTAAAATGAGAATTCTGATATAGATCTGGGGTGGGACCCCAAATTCTGCGTTTTTAATAAGATCCTGGGTGATGCAGACCCTTAGGTCAGCAGGTCCTTAAAATCACAATTCTGGGAACAAGGATTTGTATATTTTATGTTCTAAAAACGTTTTTGAGCCTCTTACAAAGTGGTGTGTACTTTAATAAAGTGCCTTAGCAGTGCTGGAGGGTAAGGCTTGGGAGCAGATTGTGAGGAGCCATCTATGACAACTCAGCTTTTAAGCAGGTTTGTTAAGTAGTCTGGTGGGGGGAATGGACGATTGCATGGAGAACAGTGAAGGTGAAGACTGGAGCCTAGTGAAATGGGGTGGGCAAAAGGGCAGTGACTGTGAGGATGGAGAGAAGTGGAAGGGATCCAGATAACAGAGGAAGAAGAACAAGGTGTCTGATAAAGATGTGGTGAGAGGGAGGGAGATAAACTAGGATAATTCTCCTAGTCTCCTGTCTTGAGAGACCTGGTAGCTAATAATACTACCCAATATAATAGGGAACAGAAGGGGAGGGGCTTATCTTATACTGGGGGTGTATAATGTGTGTGGAATGCTCAAATGGAGAAGAACAGCAAGGATCTAGATATACTGGTCTGAAGCTCAGAGAACTTTGGGTTAATGATGCAGATTTGAGTGGAGTGAAATCCAAGAGCAAGGGATAAGATATCATTTGGTGAGAAGATTCAAAGAAAGAAGAGACCTGGGCACATCAACATTTAAGGTGTAGTGGAGGAAGAGGATTCACCAAAAGAGAATAAGAAAGATCAGCCAGAGGAGAACTAGGAGAGAAGTGTCAAAGGCTTTTAAGAAGGATCAGTGTGGAAATGAGGTCTCCCTTCTGCTAATCCCTACTATAAAAAAAAAATAGCAGCAGGTACTACTACTGTAAGACTGCTGGCAGAAGCTTACTTTTCTTGAGACACTGTGCGCTCTAAGGGCCAGGGACTAGACACTAGGTAGCTGGCTTTAGAGAGAAAGCCAGATCATCATCTATGTAATCTGGATGAAAGGCCAAGAGTTTAAATCAGAGAATCAACACTGATTACCCATTAGATTATAGGAGCTTAAAAAAACAAAAACAAAAAACCGCCCATACCCCAGTCCCAGAGATCTGCCTAAACCTACAAGGAAATATCAGGTCTCTGCCACCAGGCAAATTATAGTTGATCCTTAAACAACACAGATTTGAACTGCATTAGGTCCACTTATATGCATATTTTTTCAATATACAGTCAGCCCTCCATATCCCCAGGTTTTGAATCCACAGTGCTGACTTTATGCATTATTCTATACCATTTTATTTTATTTATTTATTTATTTTTATCCTCATTTTTCCATTTTTTGTACAGATAGAGTGGGAGGGAGAGAGAGGAAGAGAGAGAGGGGGAAACATCGATGTGAAGGGACACATCGAGTGGCTGCCACCCGCACGACCAACCAGGGCCGGGGACAAACTGCAACCGAGGCACATGCCCTTAGCGGGAACCGAACCCGGGTCTCTCCGGACCGCAGGTGGACGCTCTAACAGCTGAGCCAAACCGGCCAGGGCTCTATACCATTTTATATAGGGGTATATAAATCTCAAATTTAGGTATCTGCAGGGGGTTCTAGAACCAATCTCCCGTTCATATACCAAGGGACAACTGTACTTTGGACTCACAACAGTACCATCAAGATAAAACAGTTGAACAGTAATCACAAAATAGGTTTGCAATCTGATCATTAGATTCATGATCTTGTTTTCCCAAATTAGGTCTTGAATCCCATGCTCCTGCCCTTTTTTGATGGTGGTCTTAACACACTTAAGTTGTGGATATTTAAAACCACCTTTCTCTCACCCATTTCCTAACAGGAGAGCATGAAGGTAAAGGAACTTGCCTGTTGGAAAATGAATACAAAGTGCAGCATTATCAGAGCCCCTCACCCTAGGGCAGGGTCCACTGAAAAATGTTAAAACCAGCCACACTACTTGGTAGAAGACATCTAGGGTTAGAGAACAAAGTGTTCAGAAGCTGTTTTCCTACAGGCTTGTTTGCCTGTTCCTGGGATTACAATGTGGTCCAAAGGTCTTACTTAAACAGTGGGACAGAACCATGTAAACAAAGCACGCCTCTGTTGAGCTTGAAACTATATGATCAGCCTTTCCCCTCTATAAGCTACTTCAGACAGAGGATGGTCCCCTCATACAGTAATTTTGGGGTTTGGAGGAGGATTTGACCAGAATCTATAAGAACAGATAGAAACTAGTTCCAAGTCCTGAGATTTCTTACCTCTGGTTAGGAGAGGGCACCAGTGGCTGTCCAACTCTTTTCTTCACTCTGGTTAGCTGAGTTGGTGGGATTTCCCCTTTGAGAGCAGGGACTGAAGGAATCAGACTGGCCTATAAAAGGGCAAGTCAGCACACTGTAGCCACAATAGGTTTAAAGGGTCTTAAAACATCAATAATTTTATTGATAGTGGAATTCTTTTTTTATACTGAACACAAATAAGTGGGTACAGAAACCTTGATAATATAGTTTTATTCCTTGAAAGAGTTATTATTCTCATAGGGTTTGATCTATGTCTCAGCAGGATGTTTCGTAATGATTTGAGGGTTCACTATTGATGTGCAAGGTTTTCTTCTTCCTCCACTAAAATCTCAAAGTCAATACTGGACTCCACAACAGCAGGCTTTTATTCCACGTGAGAACCAATGGTGGGGACTCTCAAACCTTGTTAACATTCTATTGGCTTCCAGTATTCACACCATATATTCTCATTCACAGGAAAAAGAAGGGAATCTGTGTTAGAACTAGGAGACTCTTTTGGGTTCACTAATGTTCAATTTCATTTTCAGAGGAGGAAAGTGAAGCCCAGAAATGAGAAATTAGTTGCCTAAGGTCATATAGCTTCAAATAGCAGAAATGAAAACAATTCAGGCTTCTGACTCTTGCTTGGTCCACTATACCCATACTGCCTCCCCCCAAATCCCTTGTATATTTTTAAAGTAATTAAGTTCTTACCTGAGCTATGTTTAATCCAAGGTTCAGGTTGGTAAAATAGCAGTCAAGTAATGCCAGGAAGAGGCAAGACAGAGGAAGAAGAGATTACAGCAGGCAAAATGGGATGGGGAGTAGACTACTGGGATCCAAACAGTCAGAAAGAAAAGAAGGCAGTGCTGGTAGGAGGGCAGGAAGGAGGTTAGTCTAAATAACTACCACCAACTGCACAGCTTCTGTTTCTTCCTAATTCTTCTAGGGGGTTTCTCATAATTGCCTCCTTTTCTCATGGGTTATAGTTCCTGAGCTGAAACACAAGTTTTCGTTCTGTTGTCCTCAGGGTACAGAAGATAGGGTAAAAGTCTCTTCCAAATAATTCAAATGTATTGTAAATAGTTAAGATAGAACATAACTCACCTTTTTGTTCCACTGAATAATTTACTTAATATCATCTCTCACTAGTGTATGTTTCATCAACAGTAGTTTCATTCATTTCACTAATAATAGGTGATTTATTTTGTTAGTGTTAAATGAAAACAGCAGGATATGTAGGTCCCTCAAGGTAAGGGGGTTTCTTGAGAATACTTGATGTGGTTATCAAGTACTACAAAGGCAAAATCTTTAATACCAGTGATATGCTCCAAATCCCTTCAAAGTAGAAAATAAGAAATGAGCTTAAAGAAGTTCTCCTATGTAAGATGATAGGGAAGACAAAAGACTAAGGTATGTCCAACACAGAATAAACATGGTGTGTCTCATCTAGTGGTGGCTCTAGGAACCAGGCAGAGAAGATTAAGAACTCCTATTGGCATAAGAGTAGAAAAGTGCTGCTTGTATGGTTCTGCCCCTAATGACTATTTTTCTGTGCATCTTTGTTTGTTTGTTAATCCTCACCTGAGGATACTTTTCTACTGATTTTAGATAGAGTGGAAAAGAGGAAGGGTGAGAGAAAGAGAGAGGAAAAACATCGACGTGAGAGAGACACAGCAATTGGCT